TGCACATAAAGTTAATGCAAAGATATGAAAATATGAATGGGTTTAGATGGATGTAAAACTTATCTTTGTATTATCATCCAAGACATTTTTCATTGTACTTGATCTCATTGCCTGCTTATAACTTACATAGTCTTGACATATAAGATTATGAAATGAGCAATTCGTGCTGATAACGTGTTATAAAATAAAAGCAACTTAGTAAAACATGAACAAGACATGTTGTTATGAAATAAAAGCAATTTAGTAAAACATGAACAAGAAATGGAGATAGAGAGAAGGAAGAGATTTTCTTCTTCAATTGTGTGTATTTTCCTATCTATTACAAGGCCTTTATATCGGCATGAAAAGTGAAGAAAAATATGTCATTGAATATGTCGTTAAGCATAGAAATATGTCATTGAATATGTCATTAAGCATTTGAGATGATCATGGAGGAAGAGTAGATATCCACCATAATTTGATTTTTCTTATAACACTTTGGACATACTACCATTATTCATTCTCAAACTAGTGATTTCCAACTAAATAAATCTTCAATATCAATTATCATTTTATAAATAAATGTTTCTATATTGTGACAGAATTTTTTTTACCTCAATTTATATCTATTTGTGTAATTTTTAATCTAATATTTAGAGTTTAGAGAAAAAAGAGAGAGAATACTAGCAAGGAACAACTTTATTCTTTTATGGATGTTCTAGATTGAAAGAAAGAAATAGAGAATATCTAGCAAACAATAAAGGAGGGGAGCGATACTTTTTTTAATTTCATAAAATATAATGGGTATCAACTGATACTAGTGTCCTGTAAAATATAATAGTTTGATGTGTCATTTTCACATTAAAAACGTTTCAACAAGAGTGGTCTAATGTCCCTTCGTTCAGCTAATATTTGGATAAAATAAAACTTATCATAGGTTAAAGGACACTAATAACATAAATTAATTTTAAACTGTTGATATATATAACTTAAATATTTTTCTTCGCAGCCTTTATCTCTCTCTTTTTTTTTGTTGCTCTTCCTAACAAGAATCAGTTCGAAAGCAAAAGGTTGAACCCACCCTAATCCTGTTCTCTTCCTTTTCATTCTCAATTTCAATTTTCAAACCAGAAAAATTCTAAATGTACGGTGTGAGGAGACAGAGACTGGTGAGTGTGCTTATTCGTCTTATCTTCAAAAGCAATAAAGCATATTACTATTACTATATTTGATTCTTCAACTAGTGGAGCAACTTATGAATTTATGATCACTCCCCATTAGACAGTTAAGGAAGCCATATAATA